GCTAATTGGCATTTCCTAGAATGCTTTAAAAATGTGGATTCCTGGGTACGATTCACCAGGTGCGGTCACCAGCCTCCAGGTGTTCACACCTCTGTGCAGGCTGTCCCCATACTGTACCAGGGGTGGTCTGTGCAACCAGCATATAGCATATGGCAGAGTGGTGCCATGTCCTTCTGAGATTAGGCTGTGAAAGACTGTGACTTCTGTGTTGGATTCGTTCTCTCTCTCTCTCTCTCTCATATTACTCGCTTTGGGGAGAGCCAGCTGCTATGTTCTGAGGACACATAAGCAGCCTCCTGCCCTCAGCCATGTGAGCAGCCACCATGGGAGGAGTCTTCCAGCCCAAGTACCCCTTCTGATGACCGCCCTCCTGCTGCCTGGCCACCAGCTCAACTCCACACCTCCTAAGAGAAGCTACGCCAGAGCCACCAGCCAAGTCGATCCCGGAAAGCGTGTGTGATAATATTTGTCTGTCGCTTTAAGCTGCTCAGTTTTGAGCAATTTGTGACACAGTAACAGATAACCAACATGGAGAGTCCAGGGTGAGACCCAGACAGCTGTAGAGGTCAAAGGTCCCCAGGCAGTTCCGATGTGCAGCCAAGGCCCAGCGCAGGGCCTCGGGGGCTTGTCTGTCGGTGGTTTTCTAAGAGCAAAGCACATCCAAAATGCGTGTCATGAAAGTGTGTGTGTGAGGGTGTGTACTGTGTGTGTGTATACTGTGTGTGGATGTGTGCGGGGTATGTATGTATGGCGCATGTATACATGTGGAGTATGTGTGGTATGCGTATGATGTATGGGTAGTGTATGTGGTATGCATGCTATGTATGTGTGGCGTATGTGAGTTTGGTGTGCACGGTGCATGTATTTGTGTGTATACATATGTGATGTGTGGTGTGTGTGTATGTTTGCATGCAAATATCAAAGTCTTTCCACGTGTGTCTCTGGGCTGAAAGCAGAGAGCAGGGTGAAGACCTCTAGTACCGGCGGCCTTTACAGCTCAGCCTGACACGTGGGCACTGCAGAGCCAAGAAAGCTTGCTGGTTACGTGCCTTGATGAAACAGAGACAACCCAAGAATCGCTAGATTACGTACGATACCGCAGAGAACCTTGGTCTGATGATTATCAAAATGTGTGCGGTAGTGAATCATGTCTCCCAGTGAAAGCGTTCACAGCACCCTGATTCAGCGGTTCTGGGTGAGCTGCGCAGGCGCCCTAGAGCTTGCTCGTTCAGACTCCTCATCCCCACCCCCCACTCCGCCCCGGAAGTACCCTCAGGCACCTCCGGGGAACCCCGAGGGCTTCACAGTTTGCAAACCTCTGATTTGGTCCAACTGTGTCATTTTACTAACTCATAAACCAAGGCCCACGAAAGGACAGTCACATGGCACGGCTGCGGCAGACGTCCGGAATTGGGTTGTCCTGACCTCTTGTCCAATTTCTCCACTGCCTGAGATGCCCACAGGACGAGAGTCACTCAGGGCTTGGTGACCGTGGGTGGCAGTGTGGGCACAGCCCATGAACCAAGGCCCATCATCCAAGCCTCTCACCAGCACCAATGCCCCGCTCGCTCCCTCCTCCCACCCCCATGGCCTGGTCACCCTCGGGGGGCAGTGGGGGGCGGGCTTGACTGGCAAAGCTCAGTCCTGGGAATAATGACAGCAGAAACCAGCAAAGCACCTGTGATGTGCTACGAGTGAACTCAGTGCTTAATCTTCCCAACCACTCTATGAAGCAGATACGGTTATTTGACACAGGAGGAAACTGAGGCAGAGCAAGGGTAAATGCCTAGCCCAAGACCCCTTGGCTAGTCAGTGGCAGGGCCAGGATCCTGTGGGGTCCAGTCTGGGTCTGGACACCAAGCCCTTGACCCCTGCCCTCTGCTGCCTCCCACCCGGCCAGCAGCCCAGCTCTCCTTTCCCTGCTGAGCAGAGTAACAGGTCCTCCATCCTGCTCCCTGGAGGAGCTAGGAGACAGTCACCAAACAGGAAAGAGTGGTCAGACCTGTCACTTTTCCAGCCACAACTCTCAGGCTTTTAGCTGCAAGGACACTGAGCGGTTAGCACCTCGCCTAGGGCAGGGGGCATCGGGCTTCCCACCTAGCTAGGGTCTCTCAAATGCACTTTTTCTATCAGTAACGAATGCTGTAGGCACTTAGGAATGGAGTGATAAAGTGATAGCTTCTAACTACTTTTACCCTTTCATCTTCTGTGCCAAGGATGGCTTTACATCAGCAGCGATAATTTGATATAGATCCAACCCAGAGGGTATCGCAGGAGCTGATACTCCGGGCCTTTGACTTACACGCCACGGCCTGGGCCCTGTTGATTCTTCTTCCTCTCCATTTATAGGGAAGTTGCAGGAACTGTGCAAAGAACTCCCCCATCCTCCTCACTCAGATTCTCCTCCGGCTGTTAAAACTCCCCCGTGCGTTCCCTTCCTGCCCTCTGCGTGTCTACAAATCATTATCATCATCTTTTTCTAAACTGTTTGAGGACACACTGCAGACCTGAGGCCCATATCCCTCAAATATCCATCCTAGTGTGTATTTCTCAAAAGCAAGGACACTTACCTACATGACCATGACACAACCCTCCAAGTCAAGAACTGACATCAAGGCAAAACCATTGTCCCACCCACAGACCCTTCACATTCTCCAGCTGTCCCAACAGGTCTCGATTTCCTTCTGGTCCAGGATTTCAGCAAAGAACACATGCTGCATTTAGTCATCTGCCTCTTCAGACTCTTACAACCTGGAAGACTTCCCTGCCCTTCACGTTCAAGCAGTTTCAGAGAATGGTCCTTATGCTCACTTGCTCGTGACCAGGCTTAGGCGGTGCTTTCTTGGAAGGAAAACCCCAGACGTGATGTTGGGTTTTCTTAGTGTGGCCCATCTGGGGCACATGGCATTATTTGTCCCACCACTACGGAGGCTGACCCTAATCGCCCAGTCAACTTGGAGCCTGCCAGGTTTCTCCACCACAAAGTCACTGTATTTCCACTCGTAATAAGCTGACCTCTACACGTGCCCCAGCCCAGCACCACTGAGAATGTTTCCAGCCTGCGACACAGGGAGGGGACTCCAGAGCCCAGGGGTCTCAATGGGTTAAAATGACAGAGTTCAAAATCCAGGGAGTCCAAGACATCTTGATATTGCAAGGCAGAGAACCAGAAGGAGAGAGATGCACACAGAGGGAAATCCAGAAATCTGAGACTCTTGAGTCTTTGGCTGAACACTAATTTGTGCGTATGTGTGAGGAAACGTCCAAGGTTGTGAAAAAGCCTTAAAAGAATAGATGAAAGAATTCTCTGAGATCACTTGGGGCTGGAAACAGTTTGTGTTTTTCCAGCTGGGGGGTATACCTCCTAATACACAAGGCATTGGGCAGCAATCTCAGAAGCAGTAAAGCAAAATCTTCCCTAGACATAAGTCTTCTTGAGCTAGGAAAGCTTAAAAGCAACTCTCGGAAGATGCAAATTACTTTTAAGTAACTTAATTGTGTTCTAGAACAAACCCCAAAATATTCACAGAAATTTAAAAAAATTCAGCACCCAACAATGTGAAGTTCCTAACATCAAGCCTCTAATATAAAATTATCAGGCATTCAAAGAAAAATATGGCCTATAACCAGAAGAACAATCGATGAATAAAAACAGACTCTGATATGACATGGATGATGAATTTGTGGAGAAGGACATTAAAACAGCCATTAGAAATAGGTTTTATATGCTTTGGAAGAGAGGAGAAAGCACAAAAAATGAAAGATATAGAAAAAAAGGATCCACATTGAACTTCTAGAGATAAAAACTACAATATCTGAAATGAAAAATACCCTGCATAGGATTAAGAGTAGATTAGACACTACAAGAAAAGATTAGTGAACTTGAAGACATAGCAACAGAAACTATCCAAAATGAAACAGAGAGAGAAAAGAAAGATTGCCTAAAAATAAGCAGAGCTTTGGAGCACCGTGGGAAAACAGGAAGAAGCATAGCATACCTATTATTGGAACCCCAGGGTTGAGGGAAGGGGGAGGAATAAAGACTGAAAATTTTCCAAATTTGATCAAATTATAAACCTACAGATCCATAAAAAACCTCAATAAATCCCAAGTGGGTGAAACAAGAAGAAAAAAAAAAACCACACCAAGGCACATTATAATCAAACTGCTGTGGCCTTAACCATATGTTCTGTTATCTCTCATTGACAGGCCCAAGGCATAAACAGAGAAGAAACACAATGGGAAAAGGCACCAGGAAGAAAGGAATAGTTGTAGGTAAAATGATAAGACTCAGGAAGGATGGGAAGGGTGGCAGGTGAGTATGGTGGCGGGTCACGGCAGGCTCGGTCACTGAAGAGGGCCCTGTGCTCTTACCCCCTGGGGCAGGCCCAGCCCCATCCCTAGGAGCAGCCAGACTCTTGCTGTTCCCACTGGAAGTCCAGCACTATAAGGATCTTGAGACCTGGATTCCCTGCATCTTTGCTGGGTGAATCCTCTTTGACCTGGAGCATGGCCCAATTCTGGGACTAAAGGCCAATCAATGACAAAATCAGCAAGCACAGCATACACCAGGAGGTTGGCAGGACAACTCCACTTCTCAGAAGCCTACAGATGGCCCCAACCACATTAGAAACCCCAACAGCCCTGCCAGTCCCACCTGAACACACTGCAGGACGCCTCACCTGCAGAGGTTTCAGGTCAAGGGACAAAGACTTCCAAGTTCTCTGAGTTGCCAGTGCATGGCCTATTTCATCCCTAGAGGATGTCAGGCCTGCCAACAGTGCCCATAGCATTGCCAAGAGGGGCTGCCACACATCTGTCACCGTGGGACACCGTGGACCATGGCAGGTACCTATCCCTGCCCACCTGCCACTGCCAAACATGTGGTTGGGCCCCTTTCTGGAGCAAGGAGCCAGCAAGAGTACTCAGGCCCTGCCCAGGCAGAGGATCAGGACTCCAAGGGTGGGGCAGGGTGTTAGAGCATCTGCCCCTGAACCTACCTGCCAGGCCGGGAGGACCTTCTCGATGTCATTCAGGTTGATACTGTCCCCATCTTCCAGCTTCCCTTTGCCACACCTGGATCAGAAAAGACAGAAAGACATTGGAAGGATGGCTCATTCATGCATCCTGTCCCAGCCTGGCAAGCAGGAGAGGAGGGACAGTCAGGAGATACCTGGACCTGCCATCCCTCGAACCCTGCAGAACCAGCTGTCCCACCCAGAGGAAATGGCTCTAGAGATGAGGGTCCTCCTCCCCAAATCCAACAGCCAACCTGGAGGGAGGTAAGAGAGGAACCAAAGCTCTTGCCCCTTCCAGGCAAAGAAGCTAAGCTCCTTGCTTAATGAATACCCCAAAGCTTGTCGTAACTCCTGCAAAATCCATCCACCTTGCCCTATTACACCAAAGGGAAGATGAGTGAACAGAGAGACCAAGCAACTTTCCCAAGGTCACACAGGCTGGCCGGGGCTAGCAGAGAGCTCAGTGGGGCTTCCTTCCTCCTTGGCTTGACTTTGGGCCAGTCCAACAAGTCCCATCAGATATCTGTCTTCATGTCCTCTGCGAGTGGGCGTGCCCTCAGGCCTGAGAGCCGGCCCCAACTTACTGGCCAAGGGTCTCTTTTTTTCTATTAATACAAATTTAAGGGGGCAGATTCTGAAACCAGACTGCCAGGGATTGAACCCCAGTTGCTAACTGGGGTGGTTACTAACCTGGTGACCCTGTGCAAGTCACTTAACCCCCCTGTATCTCAGTTTCCTCATTTGTAAAATGGGCATAACGAATGTGCCTAACATTATAAAGCAGCTGGAAGAGCAACACCTAAGTGGACATATAGGAATAACATTTATCAGGTGTTGGGCAGGTTGGGGGGTGGGTATATACATACATAATGAATGCGATTTGCACCAACTGGGGGATGGACACGCTTGAAGCCTTGACTTGAGGGAGTGGGGGCAAGGGCAATATACGTAACCTTAACATTTGTACCCCCATAATATGCTGGAAAAAAATTTTTTAAAAATGTGCCTAACATTATAAAGCAGCTGGAAGATTAAATTAGTTAAAGCATCTAAGTACTTAGATGCTTAGAACTATGCCCTGAACATAGTAAGCATTATATATGACCATACATATTTTTAATGGTAAACAGAGGTAATAACTAAATAAAATTAAAAAAATAAATAATGTAAATATATTGCCACTACTATGACTACTTTTACTACTACTATTATTGTTCTAGTTTTGGAGGCAAAAAGGCAGCCAGGTGACTGATTAAGGGAATAGTCTCTGGAGCTAACCCAGCCTCATGCACGTTACTCAATTTCTGGGTCTCTTCGTTTCCTCATCTATCAGAAGCGAAGATGATAACAGTTCCTACCCCTCTGGGCTGTGCTGAGTTTTAAATACTACTAGGCAAGTGCTTAGAACAGGGACGGGTGCACGGCCAGAGCACGGTGTCATTAGCAGTACTGACTACTGAGGTATGGTGAGGGCTGTGCCACACGTTGGTGACAGCATTTTCCAGCTGCACAGTTAATGCAACTCTCACATCCCAGAGTAGTTGGCTCATTTGTTTAAATATTCACCAAGCATCTCTTCTGGTTTTGGATCCGTCAACAAAAATAAATCAGTTTCAGTTCCTGCCCTCAGACAGCTGAGAGCTCTTAGCTGGAGTCCTGAAGTCACATCTCCCAGGGCTGTACGCCTGAGCACCACCAGGGGGCAGCATGAGCTCAGTGCCCTAACGTCCCAGGGCCAGGGGAGTCCCAGAGGAAGAGAAACTGGCAGCCACCGGCAGCAAAGGCTTGGGTGCAAGAGAAAGGACAGGGTATAAGCCAAGCCTGCCTCCGATGGTTCATTTCTTCATTCACCTAATGCTTCCGTGCGGCCCCGGGCAGGGGCTGGGGCCCAGGTGCAGACAGCGGGTGGGACTGTCTGGAGGGAGAATCAGCTCACACAGCACAGCGGCCAGTGCACCCGCTGCAGAAGCCCAGAGCAGTGGCGCCTGGAACTGTCTGGGGGAAGGTCAGCAGGAAGGTGACACGTGAGCTGGCCAAGCACAGGGAATGTGGGAGACTGTTCCACAGAGCAGGCAAATGCCCGGAGCTAAGAGCAACGTGCTGCCCGTGTCCACAGTGGGTGGGCCAGGACAGGGTGGAGCTGCAGAGGTGACGGCAGGCGGAGCCAGGGTGGGGAGGGGCGTAGGGAGCTATAACAGGGTGAGAGAAAAGATGTGCTGGACTGCAAGTGAGAACGTGGAGAAAGGCCTAGAACATCCAACCATCTTTTAACTGATCTATCTGCCTGGTGGAGACCGGCCGCCAGAGACAGCACCAGCTGCTTGTTGTCGCCTGTGTTCTGTACCTGCCAGGGCCGTGGGGGGGGGTTCTGGGGACTTGGTGGCCTGGACTGGCTGACACCCCTCCCCCATGTCACTTGCAGGTAAAACACACCTCAGGACTCTTCCGCATGCGCTGAACTCCACGCACATGCCGGGCGCCAGCCTAGCGCACTGCAGGCATGGCCTGCTGTTCTCGCCCCAGCAGCCCACGGTCGGGCAGCGGGCGGAAAGCAGGGGAGGGCTGCTGTCCCCCAGACCTGCCCTGGTCAGGGCTCAGAAGTCCCTGGAGGACTGCAGGTTTGGAGGGCAGAGGTGGCTACAGATGAGCTGAGTCACTGCTGCCAACAGGGTTTCCAAGGCAACAGCCTTCTCTGATTTCTGTCCCTCCATGGAAACAAGGCTGCAGGACGCCTTGGCAACCAAGTGGTACCCTGCTTCTGAGCGAGGCTGCCGTGGCTGGCACGTGGAGTCTGTCCCCACTAAGGCAGGACTGTAAGGAGGACACTTACAGGACTCGAAGGGGGACACCTGGCCACAAGGTAGCCACAGGACTCTGCACCCAGACTCCCCGGGAACCTGGTAGTGGCAGGTTTTGGCCAGAGAGTGTGCCCATGGGAGATCCCAGGTGACTCAGCAAAGCTGGCAGGCTCCTGGTGAGCGGGTGAGCATGGCCAAGCAACTCGGGCCCATGGCTGGCATTGCAGGTGTGGCTGGTTACTCTGGTTTCAGAAGGGACAATGCCCTCAGCACAAGGGGAATCGTCCCTTCCCTAGATAGCCATTTATCACCACTGCCAAATGGCATTTTGTCATGAAGTTAGTTAATCTCTAGGAACTGGTGCAGACACCTTCTGCATGCATTCCCCATCGTACACCTGTAGTCAGTAAGGCAGCACCACCACTTCCATACCCTGGGCCTCAGTTTCCCCACTGGTTTCACCAGCTATGTGCTCCCAGGGGACACGGGAGAGATTGGAGCTGCCCAGGGAAATGCCATCTCTCTCCAAAGCCTTTCCCAGGTGGTTCATCCTACAAAGTGCTCTCTTTTCTAACCCCTTTTGCATGCACTTTATTTAACCCCACACCTGGCATCATACTTTACACTGCCCACACTCTAAATAGGCACTGCATACTTTAGTCATTTTTTTTTCTCTATACATTCATGAATGAGTTCACGTCTCCTTTTCCCAGCAGACTGAACTGCTTCTGGGCAAAGACCATATTATATTGTGTGTGTGTGTGTGTGTGTGTGTGTGTGTGTGCGCGTGTGAATTTTCCTCATGGAACCTAGAGCCACACAGGGACCCAGCAGATCTAGTGACAGACTGGCTCCTTGGACTTGAGAAAAGTGCAATGCTCCTCCTATTCCCATGGCACACCCAGCCTCCGGTCCACTCCACAACAGGGCAGATGGCAAGCAGTACCTCTGCCAGAAACCCACTCCTGAATGCCACCGGCGAAGTCAAGGCCACTTTTCCTGAAGACAGGACTGCGGAGGCTCAGCCCCGTGCCGCTGCAGTGGCTTTCAAGAACAGTCTTGAAATCAGAAGGCCGCGGGTTCTCCATCTCTGCCAGGCGGCCATCTCCCCTCTCTACCCAAAGAAGAATGGAACCCACAACGGGTAGGACAGTGAAAAAAGGAGGTGTGGTGAGAGGGTGAGGTCCCCTGGGAGAGTCTGATGTGAGTTGTGGGCCTCTCCGAGAAAAACACACCTGTACACACACACACAATCTTGAAGACAACTTCAAGGAGGTTGGGGATGCCCCGGTGCGAAGACCCGGCCACTGGATGGCATCAGAAGGCCTGGCCTTATGTCATGGCTCCGCTATGTAGGCAAATGGCTTTGATGCTCTAAGCGTCTTTCTCTCCCCTCTAAAATGGGCATGAGACCAATCTTTCTGTGGGTTGTTGCTCATTACACTGTAGGGACAGGCCAGTGCTGCCATGGGAGGGGGTGACCGCTAGGGGTGGGTGGGGCAAAGATGGCAGCAGGAGGACACGTGAAACACAGAAAAGTGTCCAGTAATGTCAGTTGTGCTTAGATCTGAGTGACAGGGAGGCACGAGTGTGGAAGGGAAGGCTAGAAGGAAAAATAAGGACAATAACTGAACACAAACAAAGAGGATGAGGAGAAATCAGAACCCTTGCATGTTGCTGGCAGGAAAATGGAATATTCAGCCACTGTGGAAAACAGTCTGGCAGTTCCTCAAAAAGTGACACATGGAATTAGCATACAACCCAGAAATCCCACCCCTAGGGACCTACCCAAAGAACTAAAAGCAGGGACTCAAAGAGATACTTTACATGAATGTTCATAGCAGTGTTATTCACAATAGCTGCAAAGTGGAATCAACACAGTGTGTATCAACAGACGAAGGGGTAAACAAATCGTAGTACATCCATACAATGGAACATTATTCAGCCATGAAAAGGAATAGAGTTCTGATACATGCTACAATGTGGAAGAACCTCAAAAAAATTATGCTAAAGGAAAGAAGTCAGAGACAAAAGGTCACATATGACTGCATTTCTATAAGTATCCAGAAAAAGTAAATTCATAGAAACAGAAAGCAGATTAGTGGGCGCCAGGGGTTTAGGATGGGGTATGGGGTTTATATTGGGGTGTTGAAAATGTTTTGGAACTAGATAGAGGTGGAAGGTGCACAACACAGTGAATATACTAAATGCCACTGAATTGCACACTTTAAAATGCTTAATTTTATGGTATGTGACCTTTACTGCAATAAAAATTATTTTAAAAATATAAAAAAGACTGGGTGTGGTGTGCATGCCTGTAATCCCATCACTTTGGGAGGCCGAGACAGGAGGATTGTTTGAGGCCAGGAGTTTAAGACCAGCCTGGGCAACAGAGAGACCCCGTCTCTAAAAAATAAAAACAAAAAATAGAAAAATTAGCCAGGTGTGGTGGCATGTGCCTAAAGCCCCAGCTACTCAGGAGGCTGAGGTGGGAGGATCGCTGGAGCCTAGGAATTTGAGGTTGCAGTGAGCTATGATGATGCCACTGCCCTCTAGGCTAGGCGATAGAGTGAGACCCTGCCTCTAAATAAATAAAAGAAAAAGAAATAAAATAAAATAAAATAAAATAAAATAAACAGCAGCCATCTGCCCCACACCTTCGTGTCTGGTTAGGGTCACATTCCCGATCCCAGGGCATCCCAGGCCCTGACACCACCTTTTCTGACCGAAGGCAGTGCTGACACACGAAGTCACTGCAGGTGAGGACGCTGGCCACCTGTGTGCCCGCCCGGCTGAGCGCCCGCCGCCCCTTACCCTTCGCGGTCGATGTGCGGCAGGGGCTGCTTGGGCGCGTGCCGGAGCTTGCGGTGGAACTGCGTGAAGTCCAGCTTCTCGGGCTGCAGGTCCCAGGTGGCACCACTAGAGGGCGAGGGAGGGCGACAGATGCAAGGCGAGGGGGGCGACAAGCCGGGTTAGGTGGGGGACCGAGGCCAGGCTGACCCAGCGGCGGGGCCCCGCTCAGAACAGAGTCCGAGGCGCCCAGCCCCCACCTGGCCGCCCCCGCCGTGGGAAATGGGCGCTGCTAACACGGCCCCGCAGCCTCCAGTCCGTTGTCACCCCTGGTTCCAGGACGCCTGGGGAGAGGGGCCGAACCGTCTGCAGAGCCTCCAACAAGGGGCTCAAAAGGGGGAACAGGCGACCCTGAGGGAGGCGAGGCGAGCGAGAGGGGCCCCGCCCAGCTCGGCCCCAGGAGACCCTCCGCGCTCCCCACTCACGTTTCTCCCCGCAAGTGGCCCCTCTCTCTGCCCTCCTTCCTCTTCGGCCTCCTCCTTGCTACCCCACCGTCCCCGCCCAGTCCCTGTCCCTGTCCCCTTCTTTTTGAGACAGAGTCTCACTCTGTTGCCCAGGCTAGAGTGCCGTGGCGTCAGCCTAGCTCACAGCAATCTCAGTCTCCTGGTCTCAAGCAATCCTCCTGCCTCAGCCTCCTGAGTAGCTGGGACTACAGGCATGTGCCACCATGCCCGGCTAATTGTTTCTATATATATTAGTTGGCCAATTAATTTCTTTCTATTTATAGTAGAGACAGGGTCTCGCTCTTGCTCAGGCTGGTTTCGAACTCCTAACCTCGAACAATCCGCCCACCTCGGCCTCCCAGAGTGCTAGGATTACAGGTGTGAGCCACCGCGCCCGGCCCCTGTCCCCTTCTTGTCAGTGAGCCATCAGCAGTCGCTGGCCCCTGACTACGCCTGGGCCCAGCGGGAGCTGCGCACGCGCAGAGACTGGGGGGGGTGGTTACCTGAAGGAGTCGAAGGTGTTGGCGGCCCAGATGTCGGTGCCCAGCATGTCCAGGGAGTTGTCTTTGCTGCCGTTCTGGAAGACACGGAGTGAAAGGGCCCTTACGTGCTTGGCCAGGACGCTGAGACAGTGGGCAGGGGCCTCCCCAGGGCCCGAGCTGGCAGCTGGGAGGCTGGAGTGAGTGCCCCCCTCCCCCAGTGAGTGTCCTGGCTGGGACACCCAGTGAGCAGTTATGCTGGGGACTCCGGGCCTCCCCCCAGGCTCGGCTTTCATTTTGCACATGTTTTACACACGTGTGCGGTCAGGGTCAGGGTCATGCCCGCAGCCCACGGTTCTCGGCTCACACCCAGCAGGGCCTCCACACGGCCCACTGAGGAGCCGCTGCCGCTGCTCGTCTGGCAGCGGCCTCTCCCCAGGCAGGAGCTGTGCAGAGCCGGGCGGGTAGGGGTCGACTTCATTTGGAGTTAAGTGCCACGCCCCAAGAAGCCCCCAGTAACCAAGGCCACACCAGAGACTTAATTTCTCCCCAGTCAACCTGCTTCTGCTCTCCCTCCAGGGTTCCTACGCCATCTACCGCAGAGACAGAAACCTTGACTCCATGCAGCTTCTGGGATTTGGTTTCTCTGTCTGCTCTTGGGCTCCCTGACAAATTCTCCACCTCTCTGACCTCACTCCTGATCCCTCCATCCCTCCTCACCCCTACACTCCCCTGCCTCCCCCAGCAACCAGAGACCTTGGCAAAGAAGCCACAGGATGTGGATGGGTTTGCTTTGTTTTGAATTCTCTTCCTTTTTCTCAAGATGGGGCAGAGCTCGGAAGCAAGCCCTCTCCTCCCCCCAACCCTTGCCTCCTGCTCAGCACTCCCTGACCGTCCACTCCCCCGTGGTGGAAACCAACCCGCTCTCCAGAGAGACAGCACTTTGCTGGGGGGTTCCAGCTGCTCACTGCTCTGAAGGAGAGGCACACAAACTGGCTGGTGGGAGGGTCGAGGGAGGAGGGCTCACGTGGCTCAGGGGACACAGGGGCTATCTGGAGAGACCCCCCCCAGACTGTGTGACCTTGGACAAGTCCCTTAACCTTCCTGGGCCTCATCCACAAAATGAGGACTGGTCCCTCCCTCTGGGCACCACCAGCCCTGAAGTCTGCAGTTCTAAGTGCCTGGGAACTTTCTCATTCCAGGATGCCCTGAGAACCCGCACAGTCCTCTGTGTGAATCAACCACACTCACTCAGGACAAGAAGCCTCTCTGTATGGCGTCACAGTGCACACCCATGGCCCCGGTGCTCTCTCCCTATAACCCCCTTCGCTGCTGACATTGACCTGTCAACCGGGCCTCGGTCCCTCCTGCCTCCTCCATATATGCCCCATCTGTCAAAGCTTGGCTCAGCTAGCAAGTGCCTCTCTCTGGCCTCCCACACTGCAGTCACCCTACTTTGCCCTGAACTTGCCACCTGCATGGGTGACCCATGGCAGCAGAGCTGGTCTGTGGCAGTTCTCACTTCATTTTCTTATAGTGACCTCTCTCCTGCACAAGATCACAGCCCCATGATGGCAAGGACCTCCTGGACTCCCAGACCCAGGTGCTCAGTGCTCAGGAACTTGCACGCCGTGATTGATTAGTGATGTCTGCTGCCAGTAGGAGAAGGGATGGTGGTGGCACAGGTGCAGGCCAGAAGGAAACCCTCTACAGGACATGGAATTTCACTCTGGGAAATCTGAAGAATCTGAAGTCCAGATTGGCGGAGTGACTTCACCGAGGTCACTCAGCTTACTGTGGCAAGAGGAAAACACATGTGTGCGGAAGCCAGCAAAAGTCTCCTGCAGTGTGAGTCGCCTACGGCACGTCAAACTTGGGCACTTGCCTCTTCCGAAGCAGCAACCCCGGCAGGGGTCTACCAATCCCAGACTCTGGATTCTTGCGGCCAGGGAAAGGCCCCCCTGGCTGATAGGAGGGCCAGAGCCGAAGCTGCGTTTGCAAGCATGTGTTTATGCTTGCTGTCCTTTCCAAAGGACAGCCACCTCTCCGTGCATCTGCCGACCCCATGAGGAGCTGTTGCCATCTCCGTTTTGGAGGCGAGAAGCGGAAGTCCTGGAGGGAGGTGCCTCAGCCCGGCTGGGGAGTGAGCAGCAGAGTGACAGTGCCAACCTGTGCTCTGCCCAGACAGCCCTGGCAGTCAGACAACCAACACCCTTTTCCCAGGGTGTCACAGGCTGCAAACTCTCACACACATTTTTCTCAATGAATCCCTACAACTCCTCACAGCAACCGAGAGAACACGTTCCTGACCTGATGCCGGGAACCTGGACCACTATTTAAAAGCCAGAAAACTCAGAGGTCTCCATGCTGTTCCAGGCACAAACCCCACTCTTCAGACCAGCCCCGCCCCTGCAGCTCGGCCTCCTGCCTCCTGCGAGCCACCAGCATTCTCTCTCCCAGGCCAGAATGTCCCTGCAACTCATCTCCTTCCTCTTTCGCTCTGCCCCACCCTCCTGTGCGATTGTCACCTCTCCATTGCAGCAAAGGTCTGGACTTGTTACTTCCCACACTGACATACCGCCTGCCTGCATTCCCTCCCCCATGACCACAATGTCACTCTGATTCTCAGAGCTGAGGAACAGAAGTGCCAGGACCATGAGCCCTTTACAGACTCAGGAGCTGGAACCCCATCTTTGCATGGCTCCAGGAAAGAATAGCATGTGGGCACCCCTACCTCTCAAGTCCAAAGCCCTGCAGCTCCCTGCTTCAGAGGCCTCGGTCCCCCCCCCCCGTATGCTGGTAATGTGCAGGGGGGCTGTGCAGCTCGGACACCATCTGCCTGGGACGGAGCTCTGGGGCCACACCCAGCGCAGAATGTATGGGATTATATTCCCCTCTGGGCTCGGAGCAAACAAACAAACAAATGTTCTTCCCACACGCCCCATGCCAGTCCTTCCCCCTGTTGGGACCCAGCTCGGGTCTCCTCCTCCCTGTGGCTCTGCAGCTTCCTCAACAGCGTGTGCCCTGGGAACCCCAGCGAGCACGGTTCACAGCACACACGTGCACACCCCTTCCCCGTTGTTCTCCTACACGGCTCCCGGGTGCTCCAGAAACACTAACCCACTGGCTCTCAACTGTCAACCTGCATCAGAACCGCGCAGACAGGGAGGGTTGGTGGTTTAAAGATGGTTCTCAGAATATGCTTTTAGAAACATGGTTCTCACATCTAAACGTTCAAGAGAGTTTTATGGAAGAAAAAAAGTTTTAAAACACTCCCTAGTCAAATGTCTTGGACACACTGAATTAAAAGATTGTTAAGATGTGGCAAATTGTTAAGATGTTAAAATTTTATTGCAGACTTTCTCAGTGCTTTTATTGGTCTTCAGTGCATGTTGAGTCTTCAAGTAGGTGGAAGTATGGTATGCAATATTTGCCAAAGTGTTGGCCAGAAATCCATCCCACTCACTCTTTTGATTCCACAGAAAATTGCACCAGACTAGGGTTCCATGGAGCTCCCTTTGGGAAACACTCTCTGACTCTGACACTCTCTATGTTAATTTCTCCCCCAAGTTAGTCTGTCATACTTTTGATGACAGAAACCCTGGCTTCACTTTTTTGTCATATCTCCTTGCCATTCACCTGCCCCAAACCCAGCCTTGGGTCCCAGGATCATTCATTAAATATGTCTTTGTGCAGACTCGGTGGCCAGGCACTGAGAGCTAGCCATCAAAGACTCGGTGGCTTCTCAAAGAGCGTTCTCCAGTTTGCAATTCCACCACTGGCCCTGGTGGCCGCAGCTTCCCTCTGAGCACAGCCTCTTGCCCAGTCCTGAGACCACCCAGCTCCTGCCCCCAGGTTGCCGAAACGCCAAGGTTCTAAGAAGCCTCATCAAAACCCATCATCCTTCTCAGCGGCTGTTTCTAGCACTCAAATGCTGCTGAATCCTTCCCAACAGCCCCTCTTACTGGCAATTAGGGGCCCCTCGCCAGGGAGCACCATGCTGCTGGCAGAACAGCTCACAGAGGGATAATGAGCGCTTTAGACCACATAGAAAAGAAAAGGCAAACAGCCTCCCCCATGGGCAGGGACACTGGAGCCGGCTCTCGAAGGGCCGCACAGATGTCCCCAGCTCAGGGGAGGTCAGACTCCTGGAAGGACGAAGAATACAGAGGACGACAACAGCAGATGCTGACCCAGCACGCAGTCTGTGCCAGTACCGCCCAAGCACTTCAGGGAGCAGATGGCATTGTCATTATCCCCATTTTACTGTTGAGGACACTGAGGCACAGAGAACTTGCCCTCTTTCACGGAGCTCGTTCCCAGGATGGGAGCACAGACAGCATGGCCCAGAGTCTATGCTCTTAACCCTGGCACAGTGTGCAGTTATGCTACTCAGGCTGGTCAACTCTGACCCCACTGAGGGGATTTCCATGGAGCAGGAACACAGCCCTCCCCTGGAAACATGTGGATTCTCCGCACCTGTCTTTGTCAATGCTTGCTGAGGCAGAGCTAGTGGAGGGAGCACAACATATGCAGTGAAGGAAGAGGGAACACAGGGTGTTCATTGGTAGTACAAGGGCAAGGTCTTCATGCACAGGTGCATGTGACAAGGTGAGAGTGAGTCACTGTGTAGTAGAAAGCATGCGAAGTCAGGTGAAGTGAGAACAACAACAAAACTCTCCTATGCCGTTGGGTTTTCTCTATAAATACACAGTTGCATAGTGATCTTTGCCTGTGCATGTGTGTGGGGGTGTGTGTAGTGACAGTTCCGAGCTGTGAGTGTTTGGAGACTCAGCGGAGCCTGGCTGGATGGGACAAGGGGCGACAGCAGGACACTCACCATGACTGGAGGAGTCACTGGTGAAGTTGCAATTAGAGAATTCTGGGGCTTGCCAGACTGGATTTCCCCAGAGCCTCTGCTGCATCAGGTGACACTGGGGCTGGGGTGGCCTGGGGTCCCTGAGACTGGAGGAGCCAGTGTGCCCTGAGTAAGTGGGCAGCTGGGCTGATGGGGTGCAGCTCTGGGAACCAGAGAGAAGAGGGTGCTGAGGTCCCTGCTCCTCAGAGGGCTTGCGGTGCTGGTCCACACCCGTCTCAG